CTTCCTCAAGCAGGGTGTGGCCGAGCCCTAGACGTTATTCACAAAGCTGCCCTTGTTACTGAGGCGGCACAGGTGGGAGGGTGGGGTGTCAACCGGAGGCGGCCCAGGCCTGCGACTTCCCGAGGGACGTCGCTCTGGAACCGCTGAGGGGAAGAGGAGCGGCTCATAGGAGTCCACAATCCCAGGCAGTGATTGAACCTTTTATGCTCTTCAAAAATCCATTGATAATTCGGGTCAGAATCTGTTTGTCAGCTGTGCTGGGCAGCACCCCTCACATTCTTGCTTACTAAGGAGGAACTGACCCCAGGTCCCATGGGGGTTCTGGCACTCACTCTCCAGGGAACCTTGGGCAAGTGTCCTCACGTCTCTGGGCTTCGGTTGCCTCATACCTAAATGAGGGAGTTGGGAGCAATCCACCTGGTTCTAAAATGACAGGGGGCAGGGGCAGCAAAGGGACCCAAGAGCCAGGGGCTCTGTGAGCTTGCCTGCCCTAGGGTTCCCGCGGAGCCCGCTGCTCCGTTGGAGCCCAAGGGGGTGGAGGAACATCTCAGAAAGTGCGCGCCGCCGCCGCACTGCGTAAGCAGCCGGGATTCCCCTAGAGCTCCTGTGGCGGGTGCGCGACGTGGACTTTAGTATCCTGGTGTGTGAAGAGAAACTCCAACGAAGGCCATTAGTCGGTCTTTGGAAGCCGGCCGATGCTGTCACAACCTTGAGGATGGTGGCTGTAAGCTAGACGTGTGCTTGAGCACAGTTAAATAGGTTTCTTTTCTTTCTTTTTCTTTCTTCCTTCCTTTCTTCCTTCCTTTCTTCCTTCCTTTCTTTCTTCTTTCTTTCTTTCTTTCGTTCTTTCTTTCTTTCTTTCTTTCTTTCTTTCTTTCTTGCTTCTTTCTTTCTCTCGCTCTCGCTCTCTCTCTCTCTTTCTCTCTCTCTCTCTCTCTCTCTCTCTCTCTTTCTTTCTATCTCGCGGAGCCGGAAAACCTGCAGCTCAAGTCCTCCTTAGATCCGAATTCTTGCATCTGCATAAAGACCGCGGAGTGTGTGCAATGCCTCCTGGTCCGCCAGAGGCTAATAAAAGGGGGATGCTATGTCCCTCCGTGTTTAGGGTCCTCTCCGCCCTCTGTAAAGCGGTATCACTTCATCCTATGGGGGGGGCCTGAACGCGAAGTCCCCTCTGCCCGCTCTTCCTTCTTAACGGAAGAGAAAGCTGGCGCGGAGACTGGGGCGCGCGCAGATGGGGGAGGGCGCGTCGACCTCAGCCTCTGGCTTCTCCTCGCGCCGTTTCCTGTTCTAGAGCCGACCCAGGCCCGGCCGGTCCCGCCGATGGGGAGTCTGAGGTGCCGTCGGCTTGAGGAGACAAAGCGTGGGATCCAGTAGTAGGTTAAAGCTCAACAGATTAAAGTTCAAGTCTTAAAATGCCAGCAGAAAATCCCCTGCTGCGGGCCCTGGGTCCTGCCCCGCCCTCGTCGGACCCCAAGGCTCCCGCAAAGAATCCAGGTTCATTCTGAGGGTACTTCAGCCTCTGGGGCCTTGAAGAGGAAGCCCGCCGGGCACGATCAGCCTGCTCCGCGCTCGCAACAGCCTCCTCCAACCCCTGCCGACATCCCACTCCAGACTGCGTAAAAAGAGCAGCAGAGTAAAGAAACCAGACCGACTGAGGGTCCTTTCTGGTCCCCTCTGAGGTGGGGAGCCGGTCAGAGGGATTTGTGACAACCAGGGTCTGGGCAACTAACCTGCCCCCTTCCCCCCCGCATGCATAGAATCCTTGCGGGGAAGGGAAAGGGGACCGGGCTGACCTCCTGGGCTGGCCCGATTGCCCGCGGCAACACCTCGCCTGGACGTACAGCGAGGCCTGACGGCTTTGGCCTCAGTGGGACTGCGCAGCGAGGGCGACACATTCCCAGCAGTCGAGGTCTCCGCCCGCTCTCGGCTGAAGCGCACAAATGCAGGATTTCAGCGATTCGGTCTGCGGAACTTGGCACTAGAAAACTGTTTTACTGAGACGAGCGCCCCACCCACCCCCACAGGCAGAATGGGGCAGCGTGAGGCTCCTCACTCGGCTTTGCCATACGTCGGGGAACGGGGACATTTATTCGCGTAGCCTGCCTGTCTCTCGCGTGTCTGTGAGAGTCTGCTGGTCTGTGTGTCTGTGTGTGTCCACCTGAGTGAGTGCCCGGGAGGGGCTACTGAGTCCCTCTCCCCACCCCCTGCAGCAAAACGCGTCGCGGCCGCCACTCCGCCACTCTCCGGCGTGCTCTGTGCGCCTCGCTCAGCGGCGCGGCGGGACTCCCGCGGCGGGAGAGGCGGACTTCTGCTCCGGCAAGGGTCCCGGGCGGGGTGCGGGAGCGGCGGGGGCGTGAGCGCCGCTTCCTCTAAGCCCGGGCCCGGGGCGGTTTGGTGCCCGCCGACCTCTCGCGCTCGGCCTTCTCTTCCGTGTCTGAAAACTCTCTGTGTTGGCTGAAGAATTTCGAGCTGCCCAGCCGCCCTTGGGAGCATCAAGCCGCACCGGGAAGATTCCAGTACCCGGGTTTGAGCAGGCAGCTCCAGGATGTGGCTAGCTGCCGGAAGTGCTTCCTTTCTTCCCGGCCACCTGCGGCTGCTCTCCTTCCAAATGTACTTAAAACTTCTCCCGGGCTTGTGAGATTCCGTCTCGGATGAAAATGTGGAAGCATTCCATTGCCCAGGGCAAAGCTTTGGATGAGTATTACGGGGTAAATGTCCAGGAACTAGGGGTGGGTGGCGAAAGCAGGGGACCTCCTGGGAGCCCGAGATGAGTGTCCCAACTCCGGACTCCCGCCCCCAGATGCCCACCGCCCTTCTCACTAGGTCCTTAGGCCCCCAGCTCCGTGCGGGCCCCTGGCCTCTGGAAATCTGGCTGAGATAAGGCCGAATTCTATTTGAAGTCATATCCTTACATTCCCCAGGTGGTGGTTTCCTTCACTTTCCAAGCCCCATGGGCCTCGGTGAAGAAAAGCAGCCAGAGTTTGGTGGCAACAGAAGCATCCAGGGCCCAGTGAAGGACCCGGGTAAATGCCGTCTGCATAAAGCACCAACCCCTCCCGGCATCTCCTCCCCAGCCCCGCTCCACTCCTCAGCTAGGCGTACAGGCTGCCACGTTATTCTCTGCAACGCCAGAACTGAACTTAGGTGCCCCCAAATTCGATGCTTTGGGATATACTAGTTCCAGAATTTCACTGTTTGGGAAGTCAAAGGAAACGAATGTCAATGAGAGCAAAACTGAGGCACAGAGAGAATCCCTCACTTGGGTAGCAGAGCCTGTGGAAGGCTTAAAGGAACCATCCCAGGCACTGCCTGGAGCCCATGGCAGGTGGAGAGGCTGCCCTGGCCCTGAAATTATTGTGGCACACTTAGGGATAACAGCCAGCTCATATTCCTATTGAAGTTGGGACCCCTTGTGAGGGGCTCTACCTTTCTTTTTCTCTTCCCTACTTCCTAGTCTCTTCCTCCCCACTCTTCAGTGCTGTTTCCTCTAGAGGTCCAACTTGATTTGGGGTCTTAAGAGGTGGGCTGGGGCAGGAAACGGTGATCCTAGCATCCCTGGGCTGGTTCTGGGACCTGCTTAGGCATCTGGCTGCAGCCCAACAGAGAAGGCTAAATCTATCCCTTTCCCTGCTTGTAAAGTCTGGAACAGAGGTCCTGGAATGAGCTCCAGGGGAATGAATCAAAGTGGAGAAGAAGACAAGCAAGATTGAGGAGCTGCTAGGAACCTTCTCACTCTGGTCAGAGGACTGGGGAGCATCCTGGATTCCCTGTATTTACAGCTGCTCCTTATTGCTCGACATCTCCCTGATGCCATCTGTGGAAAAACGTCTTCCATGAAACTGGTCCCTGGTGCCAAAAAGTTTGGAGATCACTGCTTTACCTCATCATCTCTCTGCAGCTCCTTCTACCTGAGAACTGGCTATCAGACACGGATGCTAGGTCTTTGAGAAGCCTTGTACCCTCCCTGCAGTCAGTGCCAAATAGATCTGGCTGCTCAGGGTTCTGACATCTGTTTTTAAATTTCCCCAAAGAGCATTTACCAATTCTGTACATTTCTTAGTTTAGAGGGAAGAAGAATGGGGAAGAACAGGTCTCAAAGAGAGGTTTGACCAGCTTAAAAAACAAGAACAACAACAGAGAAACACTTTAAATGGCCCATACTAGTAGCAGCTTCAAGGCAAAATAGGTTTACTATTTTCCAGCCTCAGTGGGATGGGAAAGGGGCCTCTCAATTCCCGAGGCTTGAGGGGAAAAGAACTCTTCTGGATGACTCCAGTGGCCAATTGCAAAGGAAGATTTTTGTGTGGGGAGAGGAGTGCAGTTTCTAAATCCATCCCTGGCCAAATGTGGGATTAGGACATCACAGTTCTGATTTGAGCTCTGCCTCTGCTTAACCTTGACTAAGGCACCTCCCCACAGCACAATTATTTTAGTATCTTTAAAGCCAGGACCCTGGCACTCTAAGATCCAGGCTTCCAGCCCTAACCACTGTGATATGCTTGTCCCTTCTTGCACAACATTACAGACCTGGTGCCTCTACCCCATTCTTGAGCAAGGGGAGGTTTGCGTTGGGAGAGCCCCACAGTCCTGGGCCTGGCACTGAGGAGCCACCTACTGAGTATGGCTGTGCCTGATTAACTCCACTCTAACTGCATACTCCAGTGCCACACTCATTGCATCCAGACTCCTGATCGGAAAACCATCTGCTGCAGGGGCCCAAGGGATTCTATGGCCTACTCTGCTCTCAGGCCATGTGCGGGGTTGCAGAGCTGGTGACCTGAGGCTGTTGGTGCTGGCTAGGTGACCTCTGGACTAGGTGAAACCCCAGCCTCCACCAATCACTGCGTCAAGGGGGCTCTGAGGTTGACCCACTTTCCCCCAAAGCTCTAGTCCTCCACCTTCAGCTGCTGTTCTGCAATGCTCCAGGGCTAAGGTCTCAGATTGGAGATTTTGAGCCATAACCATCAATCCAAACATCACCCCCAGCAAGGCAAGCGGCCTTTACAAACTGTAATAAACATTTTATTTACAAGTTTAAGGCTTCCTAAGTGCAGCACCCCTTTGCGCCACAACCCCAAGTGCCAGGAAGTATGGTTTCCTCTAACACTTCCCAGTGCAAGGAGAGCTGCTTGTATCCAAGGAATAGTGTTCGACTGGCGATGGGAGCCTTTGGCAAAGGGACACAGAGTCCCCTCTGCTCTGGGCCGTATGGGCTGCAGCCAGCTAGGGCACTGACGGGCGAGGGACAACGTGTGAACGTCGGGAAAGACGTTCCCCGCTGTGTCCCCCACCCGGCCCAGCCGCCAAAATAAAGTAGACAAAAAAATCCACCCACAGGCGGCTGCACGCAGGGCTCGGGTCTCCTGCCCTTAGTCTAGCCTATAAACCGCCAAGCGGGGCTGGAGCGGGCTCCGGGCTCAAGGGAGTGCTCATGGCTGTGGGCTGGGGCGCGGGGAGCAGCTCCGAGGCGCTGCTGCTGCCGGCGCTCCCCGCGCTGGTGCTGCTGCGACTGAGGGCGCCAGCGCTGCTGAAGCTAAAACTGCTGCCCCCGGCGCTGCCACCACTCCCACCACTGCCGGCGGTGGTGAGGACGCCGGTGGCGGAGGCCTGATAACTGCTGTTTGGTGCAGAGGCCGCTCAGTCCGCTCCGTGTCGCTAGGGGCCATGTCCAGGGACTCGGAGTCGCTGCTCTCGCTCTCAGCCTCGCCTTCAGAGCGGCTGGGGCTCCTCTCATCCCGTGCACAATCCGCAGCCGGGGCTCCGCCTGAAGGCTTCTCACCCGCCTCCTTGTCCTTGTCCTTTTGGGCTTGGGCCTCCTTGGAGTGCCTCCACTTCATCCTCCGGTTCTGGAACCACACCTTAACCTGGGTGGCGCCGCACGGGAGACAAGAGGGACACCGAGGTGAGGTGAAACACAGGCTTATTCTGATCCGACTGGTGTGCACCCACAACCCACCACCCAAGTTGGGAAAACACCACTTACCATTGCCCAGCCTCTACCAAGGGCCAGGCACTGTGCTAGGTGTAGGAGCCAAGGGGCCAGGCATGCTCAACTGTGGCTGTCCCACCTCACACCCGAAATGACCTGAGTGCTTGTTGGAAAGGCGGATTCCTGCACTCCACCCCCAACCTCTTTCCCTCTTTCTAATCTAAATCGAAATGTCTTCATCTCATTTGAGTCAGGACCCTTGAGTCATGAGACTCTGATTAAAATTAAGAACTCCTGGCTGGGCACGGTGGCTCACGCCTGTAATCCTAGTACTCTGGGAGGCTGAGGTGGGAGGATCGCTTGAGCTTGGGAGTTTGAGACCAGCCTGAGCAAGAGTGAGACCCCGTCTCTACTATAAATAGAAAGAAATTAGCCAAACAACTAAAAATAGAAAAAAAAATTGGTGGTGTGTGCCTGTAGTCCCAGCTACTCGGGAGGCTGAGGCAGGAGGATCGCTTGACCCCAGAAGTTTGAGGTTGCTGTGAACTAGGCTGATGCTAGGGCACTCTAGACCAGGCAAGACAGTGAGACTCTGTCTCAAAAAAAAAGAATTCCTGACCGAGAAAAATGCACATATAGCTCAAGATTTTGCACAATTCCAAGGGTTTGGTGAGCCGATGTTAAGAATTCCTCCTCTAAGTTGGCCCTCTCCTCTACTGCCAATACCCAAACCAAGCCATCCATACAAAAGCAATTCTTTTTTTAAAAGAAACTGCAGAAAGCAGAAAAGGGAAAGGGGGCTCAAAGTTAATCCCAGTGGAGTGGAGGTATTGCTGAACTTTTAGTAGAAGAACATTCCTTGGCATGTTTGTACTCTGGAACTGATAAGGATCCTGCCCCTGCCAGTGGTAAACTAATTCTCCTGGAGGCTCAGAAAATGCTGGAGTTAAATGTGTGCAAAGTAGAGGAAAGAGGTAGAGATGAAGCAGAGAATCTATATAAATATATATGATCCCCTGGGAGACCCAACACACTCACACAAGTTCCAGCTTCCCTTTTAAAAATAACATCCACAGCCGGCAGAAATCGGCTGGGTTCCTCCTCTGTGTGTGTGTGTGTGTGTGTGTGTGTGTGTGTGTGTGAGGGAGTTGTGTAATGGAGGGCAGAAAGACAGCAGAGACAGCAATCAGTGGGCAGCGAGCTAAGAACAAGAAGCCTGCCTCTGGCTTTTGCCCTGCTGGGGACAGTAGCACCAGGCAGCAAGGGCCACTGCTGTGGGGTGTGGGACATCCAGGAGTCTTCTACAGGCAAAGCATTACGGGGGGCAATTCTTGAATTTAAGAAAAAGAAAATAAATCAGGCACAATAGATTTCCTATTGTCTTAAATATATATATCAAATAAGCAGAACCTGGCATTCTAGGCATTCTAAGAAAAAAAATTTTTTGTGTCTTTCCCTGCCCTCCTTGCCTCCTCTGGAAGATTTTCTTCAGAGCCTAAGCGTTGGAACGTTATACTGACCGTGGCCGCTCCAAGCGGACTCCCCGCCCTACTAGAGCTAAGCAATTTCGTTTGAAATGGTATTTTCACTTCCTCACAACTGGGGATTTCACAATCCAGCAGCAGCAGCAGGAGGAGGGAGGGAGGAGGAAAAAAACCCAACAACAATCTCTTGACTTTGTTTTTTTATCTTTTCTGAAATAAACTGCCTCCTACAGCGAGTTGCGCTACAGTTGAGTACATAATTATTTTCTCCCCCGGCCTATTTGCTTTCTCGCCGTTCTTCGGCTTGTTCGCCAAAATAAACAAGCAGCGCTTGTTGACACACATCTTCAGGGATTCTCTCTGTCTTTCTCCCTCACCCCATCTCCACCCTCCTCTTCTACTGTCTCAAGTTTCGAAGTCCACTAAGCCTCGTGAAATTCAAGACCTTGCGTTCCGACAGGCGGACAGTGGCGGCGTGGGGGTAGCCTTCTGGGCGAGGCCAGCCCCCGGCCTCGCAAGGGCGCCCGCCCGGAGGGCGAGCTGGCCTACCTGTGCATCTGTGAGGCCCAGCATCGCCGCCAGCTGCTTTCGGTCCGGCTTGGTCACGTACTTCTGAATCTCAAACCTTTTCTCCAGGCCTTTCCTCTGCAGGTTGGAGAAGACAGCGCGCGACCACGAGCGCTTCCTCTTGTATGTCTGCGGCATAGTGTCCTTCGTGAGCACAGCATAGGGACCTGCCGCCCGGCGGGAGGGAGGGAAGAGAGACAAGAGGGCCGCGTTACAGCCCAGTCCGGGGCCTGCAAGCCTGGGGCTCACCGTGCTGCTTAAAACGGTTTTATGTTAACAGTTGGCTCCATCCTCATCAGAAAGACCTTCACTCGCACAAGAATGGCCTCTCTAAGGAAGAATTTTACAGCTAAGATTTAGTGGGCAGGCTTAAAGTGTGGAGTGGAGACGCCCGTCCGTTTTCAAAGGAAAAATAAAAACCTAATGCGTGACAATCAGGCATGCGAAAAGAAGGCGAAATGGACTTCTGGTCTGAATGACCTACAGATGACAGCCCTGGCTCTCGTGTGTGTGTGCGCGCGTGTGCGTGTGTGCGCGTGTGTGTGTGTGCGCGCCCGCGTGTGCGTGTGTGTGCGCGTGTGTGTGCGCGCGCGTGTGTGCGTGTGTGTGCGTGTGAAAGAGAGTGTGTCTTTGCACGCAGACTTAACCCTGCAAGCGTTTGAGGTCATCCCCAAAAGTGCGCATGATAGCAGGCAACAGCTCTCGGTGTCCCACTTTCAAACCACCCTGCGATGCAAAGGCAGGAAAGCACACCATCCTCCCAGCACACGCTTTCCGCTCGCCAGGCACTCGCGTCCTTTCCCAGGGAACCATCCGAAGTCAGCACTAGTTAGTTCCATGAGAAATCTTTCAGTTTCTCTCTCCGGCCTCCCAGCCTCCCGCCCCAACTGCGAGATTGCGACACGACACCGCCGCCCCTGAGGAGTCAGTCTTGAGATATTTGACTGTAGTCGACCTGCGGGTTGGGCGGTTGACTTCCGTACCTGGAAACGTGTCTTGGAACTGATGCTGAACTGAGGTTCTCGGGTTCGAGCTTAAGGGACTCAGGATGGCAGAAGCCTCGTTAATGGGATCCAGGGAGGCGAAGAACTGGCCGGCGGAGGGCTGCAGGCCGGGGAGGTGCACCTCCGCGGGCCGCCCACCGGTTAGCAAGGACGTGAGGTCTGGGTCAAGGGAGAAGAAAAGCGGGTTACACCGTGGGCAAGCGCACACTCTCGGTGGATTGGTTCCTCCCTTCCCCTTGCCCTCGATTCGTTCGTACTGAGTGAAATCAGGAGACCCCGGTTTCTGCGCCGGAGCCTCTCGGCAGTGGCCAGGGACGAAAAGTTCCCGGTGCGTCTCTCAGGCCACGTCCTCGCACATAGCAAGGAAGGGCTTTACATAAAGCGGCCTGAGAAGGCGCTTCCAAGTGGCTTCCAAGAATTCTGCAGACCCCAAACCTCCGCCCCTAGGAGCCCTGCTCTGCCCTCTCCTCTGGGAGTCCAGCCCCAATGTGTATCTACATTTCTTGTGTGAAATTTTGCTAGAAATCAGATAAATGATGGGGAAAGTTTTCCCAAAAGGGCTTTTCCTGTCAGAAAATACAGTTCTTTCCCCAAATATGTGATTAAAGAGACAGATTATGGTCATTTTAGCAAATATTTACAACCATTTTTACGAATATTGATCCTGTGGCGTTTGCTTTTAAAGCATCCTTAGAGTCGTTTGTTTTTACGTAGAGCAGGTGTTTTTAGACCTAAAGTTTCATAGTTTCTTATAATCAGTTTTCTTGTTCCCAATTTTACAGATTTGTCCTTACTTGTAAAAATACTCAAAGGCACCCCAAACAGGCCCAGGTTTGGGGGAGTGGGTCAGGGCTGTGGTCAGAGAGGCCTGCAGCCTCCGCCCAACACCTACCTCTCAGCGTGTTGCCTTCCTTGACTTTAGGGTCAAATTCTGCAGATAAAATGCGGTCGATTCCAAATTTGAGGTCTTTGCTGGAGGGGGCCGGGCCCGAGCCGCTATGACGGGGGTTGGGAGCCACTCGCGTCCCCGGAGCTGGGGTCTGCAGGGCGCCGGCCCGGGGCGGCGGCGGCTGCGGGTGGTGGTAGGCGGCCGAGAGCGGGGACAGCCGCTGCGGGAAGCCAGCCGGGGCTTCGGAGGGCGCCACCACCGGGGTGGGCCGAAGCGGGGATCTGGCCGCAGCTTGGAAAGAGGCGTGCGGGGGAAGGGAGCCCAAGTGCGCCGTGAGGGCGGCGGCCCCCGCCAGGCCCTCGGCAGCCGCCGCCGGCTCCGCCACGCCGGCGTGCAGGATGTCTGCGATGCAGAAGGAGGGCTTCTTGACGGCGGCGGGATCCAAGGCGAAGGAGCAGCCGCCCGGGCCGGCCGAGGCGCAGTAAGCGGCCGACCAGAGGCTGAGGTTGGAGGCGTAGAAGGGAGCCAGCCCGGCCGCGAACATCCCGGCGGGGCGCGCCGCTCCGCTGCCGCTCGGGCCGGACCGGGGGCCGCCGCGCGGGCCGGACGTGCTGAGCCCGGAGCGGCCCCGCCGAGGACCGACCGCTTTCGCTTCTCCGCCCGGCCGGGGAAGGGCGCCGCGCAGCCCGCGCCGCCAAGGGAGAAGCGAGGCCGGGCCGGCCGCGCTCGGGCGCGGGGCGCGCGGGGCGCGCGGGGCGGGCGGGGGCCGCGGGAGGCCGGGAGACGGGGCTGGCCGCCGAAGGAATCACCCAACAGCTAAGCCCTAGAGCTAAATTTAAAACAACAACAATAATAATCCGTTAGTTAAAAAAAAAGTAATATGAGGAAAAAAACTCCTCTCTAAAAACTCCCAAAGTTTTGGCAGGAGCTTTCCAGGCAGGCCCGGGGTAGGGCCTCGATGTGAGCGCCCATTGGCCATCCTCGCGGCCAATGGGAGCAGAGAGTGCGGGGAATTGGGAACGAGGGGCGGGGCCCGCCCTAGGCCACGCCCCGGCCACGCCCAGGCGCTCCCGGCGGCCGCGTGGGCCGGGCGCGTCTCGGCGCTGCGCGGGGCGGCGGCGGCTTCGGGGCGCGCGGGCTGCCGGCCAGCTCCGGCTCCGACTGCCACCGGCGCGGAGAGTCGGGCCAGACTTTCCTGGCGCTCTCGCTCCCGGGGCCGGGGTGCGGGCCGAGAGTGGGGCCGCCTGCGCCGGGCCGCGGCTCAGAGCCCGCCTGCGGACGGCGCCGAGAGGCGCGCCGGCTCTGCGCCCCTGTACCTCGCTCTGCGCTCGCCCGAGAGTCCGTGTTCCCGACGAAGCCCCACTGTTGCCGGGACCTGACGCCGCGAGTCCCGACCAGACTGTCACCGCGTCCGCCGCGGCCTCGCGGGGAACCCTCAGGGAGGCGCGGAGGAGGGGCGGCCCACACTAGTTTTATTCTGAGCTGTTACACAGTGACAACTTGAACGAGTGACTTTGCAGAGAAAATAAGATGGACGATTCCGATGTCTCCCTTAGTTGCAGCCAAGCTTTTCCCGGAGCCTGAGCGACACACGACGGGCTGACCGGGAGAGCGGCGTCCTCCTCCGCTGTACCTGGTGGGAAGGTCAGCCGCCCTCCTCCGCCACATCCCGGGCCACGTGGGGCCGTTGTTTTGCAAGTGCCGACAAGAGCAGATTTCCGTGGGGTTCAATGCTACTTTCGGTTCAGCGGCAGTTTCTTCAGGAACCCCTTGGCCTGCTCGCAGGAGGAGCTGCAGCGATAGCCCAGGTCCTCCTCTCGCGCCTTGGGTCTTCAGAACGCAGGGGTGTGTAGTGCGGGGTTTTCTGCAACATCATCTCTATTTTAAGAATTCGTTCTCATTTAAATTATAGTCAGATTGGATTTCCCCGCCCCCTCCCAAATAAGCCACAGGCCACCCAGATGAGCTGTTCTTGCACATTTTCAGGAAGAAAATAAAATAAAAACAATAATGAAACCACTAAATCTTTTGCTTTCGATTGTTCTAATAAGCATCTCCTATCACAGCTCCTGTAGCATTTTTATGTCCCTTTGGCACTAAGAGGTCTTACCGAATAAACCCAAAAGGCAACTGAACTTGCCATGTCTATCTCAAATTCAGGATTTGGGCTCATTAAATTAATTTCTAGTGGCTTCTAGCATCTCATTGCAAATGCTGTCATTTTAAGCTTTTGACTTTCTCCTGGAAAGCAGTCAGTCACTTGAGGTCAACTAGCGCTAAGATCTCTCCCTGTCCCTCTCCCCTTCCCTTCTTCTCCCCACCCCCATCTCTCTCTTACTAAAAAGTTTTCTTGCCCTGCTCCTCTAAGCCAGGATAGAGGTGCTATTTCCATGCAGATGGATGGGTGTGGTTGGCCCAGGGCAGGGGCACCTGGGATGAGAGAGACTGGAGAAAGACCAGTCCTTCTGGATCACGCTGGAAGCAAAGGAGCTACAAGGCCACAGGAAGCGTTGCCAGAACCCTCAGGCCACGACTCCTATAGTAAGGCAGCTTCTCTGTAACTTCACTGCCTCCAGGTAAAGTCACCAGCGCAAGTGTGTGGGGGACTGGCCTTGAGCCCTTTCCTCTCTTTTCTAGTGACACTCCCAATTCAGTTGTCATTCCAATTTGACTGCGAACATTCAGACCTCAGACTAAGCCCAAACTCACCGTTCTAAAAGAGATGCATTTACATCTCCCTGTAGACCATCCCGCATGATTTCACACCCTTCCCTAGAAATAAGGCTCCCCACCCCTTTTCGCCCATTCGAGGGTTTGGGACCCTCTGGGGCGGGGTGGGGTGGGTGAGCACGGGATGTAGACTTGGGGAGCAGACTCAGGGAGACACGAACCTCCAGGTTCCCTGCAGCGACCACAACCCAAATCCGCTGGGCTTCAAGGCCTGGAGCCAGGGGCAGACAGCTGAGAAGGCAAGGCCCAGAGGGCGGGTTTTCCCGCCAACTCCTGCCCCAAAGCGCTCCTCCCTCTCTCTGCAAGGCCCCCAGCTGGATTGCAAATTGCAACTTCGCCCAAACGCCCCTCTGCAATCCCGGGCAACCGTCAGCGCCATCCAGGGCCTACCTCAGGTCCCAGAGGCAAACTCGAAAAGGAAGCTTTTGGAAGCAACCCTCACCTCCCCCTACACCCTTTCCCCAGGCCCAGGACTTGCCCCTGAGGGCCCCTCGCACAGTTTTGAGCCCGAAGACTCCCCTCCTCCTTACTCTCCACCCCTCCGAACCAAGAAAGGAGCAGGAAACCCAGGGCTCGCCAGAGTTCAGGTCATCTCCTGTTTTTTGATGGACTCAAACTCCGACTAAATGAGCGGATGTGCCTGCGAGATTGGTCTCAAAATAGAAGTGGCCTTAGTATTTTAGGATACTGCAGAAATCCTTATTTCTTCCGGAGAAAAACTCTATAATGACTCCTAGCACTTCCCCTTTCAATATTTGTGCAACTTTATCTCCACCAGCAAGTTGCTCGGGTGACGCAAATCCGCCCTTGTGTATTACAACTACCAAAATAAATGCAAGGAAATCAATTCCCTTCTAGCAATGAAAATGTAAATATACAGCTGCGACTTTCCCCTTTAATCTTTGCTTTCCGAGCTGCCTGGGCTGTGGCAAAATGAACTGGCCCAGAGCTACTGAGATGGGCAGGGAGGCAGTGAGGGCAGTGGCCAAGGCTCCCTGGGCCTGCTAGCCATGAGGGTTGAGGCCCTAGCAGAAGAGCAAAGTGCCTGACTAAACCAAAGTGACTTGAACTTGGTCTAGACAGCTACAATCAGCTCTAAGTGTGGCCACATTTTTTGAAAGATGACACATGGGCTGGGGTTTCTCATCATTTCTGACCACTGACTTTAATGCTTTCAACTCTCCCCTTCACTTTTCCTGAGTAGACACAGTCAAAGACTATTTCACCACACTGAAAATGGACAAGATCAGAGAAGGTCCATTTTACAATTTAACAATATGGCTTAGGGGGATTTAAGGTTGAAAGAAGAGACCTGAATCAGTGGCTTATGCAATAGCTAAGGCAAAATCTGGGTGGCATCATCCTTTGGTACTCCCTCTTTTTGGAGCCTCCATACTTAAATCATCAGTTCAAATTTTTGCCATAACCCCAGAGACACAGATCCATACTGATTGAACATAAAAGGTCAATGGCAGTGATTGCTGAGATTTGCTTGTTACAAGAATGTAGCTCTGCAAGGGCTTACAGTGGCCTATATGTCTGCTTTTGCTTTTTCATGTAGACTGTGGGCAAAATAATGTGCAAGGCAGTTGCTCTGTGGACTTGGGACCCCCACCTCCAAATTTTAAATATTCTTTCAAACATAGAAATAATTAAATTTTCACAGTCAGAAAAAGAAGGAAATGGGTTACTCAGCTATTTGAGAATCTGAGAGGTTTGCAGCAAGGTGGGAATCTGTGTATATTGTGCCTGTCGTTCTACCAGTTGGAGATCCACAGACTGCTGGGCCCACACTCACATTTAGTGGTGGGTGCAGGACTTCTGCTCCTTGTGCATTCTAGATAATAGAGTTTAGGACTCTAAGGACCCCTGATAGACATACCTCTGCACACTCTATACACACACACTTGCACACCCACTCCTTGCATTATTTTAAAAGGCCATGACTCTCTTTTCCTGGAGACCTTAGAGTTATTCCAGACCTATAGTTCCTGAGTTTTTGAGAAGAGTTGGACTTTGTTAGGTGGTGAGAAAGGCAAGTGCAATAGGATCACAAGCATCCATAGCCATTTTATTTATTTTTTTCCTTTTCACCTTTTCCCAGGTGTGACAGACTTATAGATGGCCGCCCTCTATGTGACCATGTCCCTGCCCTTGAACTTAAGCCACAGGTCTGGCTTCAGACCCTCAGACAGCCCTTTGAGTGTGCTCCTCTTTGCCCTTTCCTCTCACAGAGTTTCTCACATATACCCACCCCCCATTACTACCACTTTATGGACATGTACTGCTTCTCTCTCTCTCCCTCTCTCTCTCTCTCTCTCCCTCTCTCTCTTTCTCTCTCTCTCTCTCTCACACACACACACACACTGTCACACACATGCTCTCTGGGAAACTTAGAAATTGCCATGGGAGATAGCAGGGCAGGCAGTTTGAGATTTGCTCCTGTTGGGAAGAGCTGTTTCTCTGCTTTTCTAAGTCATCTTCTCTCTACATCCAGCCCTTTGAGATAAGAAAGACCCCAATCTCATAAAACCTGCAGTAGAACCCATTTCAACCTGGCACATTATAACACTGACTTGCATATATTTGCAATGAAATCACATCCCCATAAGAGTAAAATATGAAAGACTATCTGTAACATATAAGAGTTTAAATATTTCATCCCACCAGCTTCTATTTGGTAGCTGTAAACAGTACTCTCCCACTCCCAGTGTGTTTGTTATCCACTTACCTTGCATAAGCTGGATTTGTTGCCTGAATCATTGAATCTGAATTTCTGGTTGTTAAGGTAGAAGAAGGAAGTGTAAGTGAAAATCATATATTTGCAACAACCTGGTGTTGAGAGGAAGAGATGAAAGTCATTCCTAAAGCAGTGTTTCTCTAAGCAAACAAATAAACCTTCCTTCTCTGTGAGACATATTTTCCAAGTTAGTATACAAGCTCTGAGGACAGAAGAGGGGCTCAGGCCCCCACAAAAAG